ATTCAACACTTAAAAATTCCAATCCTTCTTTTCTTAGCCAATAAACTTTGTAAAATGTAATGGGCAACTGGTATAAACTCCACCTTCTATATACACTCAATCTAATACCCTAAATTAATAACAAAAATGATGTTTGGACAGGATGGGAATGGGCCTGATAATCTATAAACCAGGTAAGCAACCCAACTGCTATATTTAGTTACGTGGCAAAAATAAAACAATCTATAGAAAGTCAGTCTTTAGGCAATAAACATGGAAATTAAACATTCAATTTTTAGTAAGACCTTTTATAGTCTCTACTATTTCTTCCTGCTACATATTCCATCCTTAAGGCACTTAACTTTATTTTTCTTTAGCCATTTCCCTACAGGAAACATCACAAAGTCAAGAGCCTTCTCTGGCTTTGACCCTACTATTAAAAAATATAAAGCTTTTGCATTTCCATTCCAACTATCAATTGTAATAAATGCCAATGCTTATTAGCATTTAGACAGATTTTCTAATAGAAGATTCTACAATAATGCATTTAATCTTCAGATGTCCTAAAATATCTTTACTCGGATGCTATAAATTCAGATTATATGAAGAACAGGGATCAGTGTGGACTGATCACTGCATACAGCACACATTACTCCTCAGGTACTTCCTAGTGAGTGGTATGCTCAGTTTCTAAGTGCTAAAACCAAGTACAGCTTGGATGGTTACAAAAAGAATCTACCTATCTAAATTGTGATTACTACTAGTTCAAGGAGGCTTGTCATAGTAGTTGCTTAATAAACATTGATAGACAAATACAATAATCCATTGCCAAGGAATGAGTACAAGTTACTGTCACGAATTTAATCATAAGCTGGTAGATATATCTGGTGTTCTCTATGCACTAATTTGTTTTCTTTGAAAAATGAGGACAGTGGTATTCTTCATTAAGCAGAATTTTAGGGGTATAGAACTTTTTCCCTTTAAAAACAAAGGGGTTAAAAAGGAAAGGGAGTGGTAGATAAAAGATTATCTTTAAGGTGTTGGTCTGGCTATTTGGATTTTTTTTTTGTTTTTTTTTTAAAGCTTTATAGTAAAGAGAGAGCAAGTGCGGTTAGAGAGGCTGCCATAAGGTGGTATGACCTATTTAGCAACATCTCATCCTCTGCTCTCTTATTCTCTCCCAATCAGTATTACTTTTTTTTTTTAAATTATGAGATGCTAAATACCTGGATGTGAAGGCCAGGGGAGTGGCTTTGTTTAATAAAAAGATTTAATGAAAAGGAGTGTTTTTTAGGCATAAAGCACCCATACAACATGAAACTATTAGGTCAGATATCTCTGGAGCAATGCTGGTTCCAAGGCTTTTTCACTTGAAATATTTTTATGATAGAATCTATGTTCAATGAACATTCATCTCATGACATTTAAGATCTGGGCTCTTTTTTCCCCATTTAAGACAGTTCTGTTTCGGCCTGTATTCATGAGACTCCTTGATAAGCTTTTGTTTTATTAAAGAGTTCTGCTGAAAAGTTTGAAAACCACTGAACAAAGATAAAGGACATTTCTGTGCTTTGGCCCTGTGAGTATCCATCTATCTCCTATAGAGCAGGTTTCTCAACCAAGACACTCTTGACATGTTGCGCTGGCTTTCTTCTGGTGTGGGGGGCTGTCCTGTGTACTATTCAGCAGCATCCCTAGTCTCTTCCCACTATGTGCCGGTAGCATTCCTTCCTGGTTCAAATGCCGGCTTAGGCATTTCAGGACCTAAAAGCAAAACCTATTTATTTTTCCAAAGATACATATATTAAGAGGGGAAAAAAAGGCAGGGTGGAACTCAGAATTTTGAAGACGAGGAGCCTTCAAAAACCCAGAGAAAGATTTGTATTATCTTTTAATTCCATTTTTCTACAAACTTTTTGAAGTATCCTTATATATGTGGTCTAGGCAGGAGACAACTTCCAAAAACAAGACAAGTGACATTTGTAAAAAATTAATAAAGCATCAGGTGAAGAGGGGGGAAAAGGACTACTTGAATGAATAATACCACACAGAGAAGTCACCATGACAGAGTAGGAAAACACGGCTTTGGAATCCGATCAATTTGCATTTGAATCTTAATTCCATCTCCTTTACTTTTGTTTTGGGTAAAACTTTTAATCCCTCTGAGCTCAGAATGAAGAAGAAAAGAACTCACTTCATTGCTGGCCTTGCACTACTTGAGAAAGGGCACAAAGTATTTTAATGATTTATACTTCTAGTACCTGAAAAAAGAATGAACGTCTACAAGTGGGTTTTTTAAATATAAAACATATCAAGATTCCTTCCTTCTTTAAAAGTTATACAAATCATATATATATATATATATATATATATAAAAGACAGCTTGCTTTTCCAATAACTCAGCTCCACACCCAAGGTTATTTACAGTGTCTGTACATGACTTGGGACTCAGCAGAAATAGAAAAGAATGGTTTTCATTTATCTTTGAGTTTCTTTTTCAAAAGTCACAGAGAAGTCACTTGAAAAATAACATTTCATACAAAAAGACTTAGGCTTGTCCTGAACCACAATAATTATACATATTAATAATCTTAAAGTCTGAACCCTCTTACACAGGTCTAGTAATGATTATGCCATTCGGTGTCAACGGAGATGCTGACAGCACCATAGCAGCCCTCCACCAAGGAGTAACACCTCCTGGCCTTAAGATCAAAAGACATGAGCCAAAATGAGGGGGAGGGAGAATCCTGGTACAGATTGTCCTGACTTCTGATTAAGCGGCAGTCTATAAAAAAAAAGGGTAGCAATGGGTCTTTGTGCTTTTATCTTTATTAACTGTGGGAAAGTAAAATATTTCAGCCCGAAATATACTTCTTTGACTTTTTCAAGATAGCTAATTCAGAAAGACCAGGAAAACAAGATTAGCTAGGCTGTTTTTTGTGGAATGAAGTGGACATGTGCATATGCAAACACCAACCTTCCTCTGAGGCAGGCTTACGCTGGCTACTATCCATTCTTTCTGAGCGCAGCTTTGAGATTACCTGAGATATTTTCATCTGCATAACAAGACAGTCTCTGCTTACCTTAACTTCTTCCTTCCTTCTTTTACCGGTGACACCACCTCCCCCAGGGCTCCAGAGAAACCTGGTCCCAGGCCATTGTTCTTGGGCTTGTACCTCCCCCACCTTCCCTCTCTCATGAACATTGGTAGATAAGCTTTATACCCCCACTGCATTATTAGGAAGTTACTCTCTTGTGATTCCCCCATGTACTGCCCCCATCCCTAGCATTTTTAAATAATAAGATTTATTATGCCTTTTCTTCATATTAATTGAATATTGACAATTGATTTTTTTTCTTTTTTTAAAAGAAACTTCAGAGGTGAAGAAGTTTTCCCCGGCCCCCTACAGAACCTTTCACTTTATAAAGAAGACCTAAAGCTTTTGAGTAGTCAGAGATATTTAAAATTATTTTAACAGATCAAAGTACCAGTTAAACATCAGTAATAGATGACCATGTGCTTTTTTGGGGCGGGGGAGTTGACGACTGGCAGGCGTGGTGTTATACCACCAAGGTCAAGAATTCAGATCCCCATACCAGCCAGCTGCCAAAAAAAAATAAAATACAGTGTTTTCTTTTGGGAGGAAATGCTACAGAACAGGGGGAAAAAAAGACTGAAAGACAGAAGAAAAGAAACCTGTAAGCTAATTAAAGGGGGTGTCAAGTATACCAGTTATAAACACCACAAATTCTGCTCTGAAAGAGTAGTACAGGAAAAAAAATCTAAAAAGCTTAAGTTTATTTATAATTCCTTGAGGATTTTTCCTTTAAAAGGAGCATTTTAGGCAAAATAAATCACCTAAGTTAAAACACTCACAGCCATTAAATATTCTAAAATAAGTAAATTACTCCACAGCTTGAGTTTTGGATTCCCAAAGGGGCTGACATAATATTTTCAATAGAATTAAACACCAAGGGGCTAGCCTGTGGCTAACTAGGGAGAGTGCAGTGCTGATAACACCAAGGCCACAGGTTCAGATCCTATATAGGGATGGCCCGTTGCTCATTGGCTGAGCATGGTGCTGGCAACACCAAGTCAAGGGTTAAGATCCCCTTACTGGTCATCTTTTAAAAAAGAAAAAAAAATTAAATACCAAAGGTTATATTATATTTATTATTTAGACCGACCTTCCAAACTTTAAATCAAATTTGCTCACATAAAGAAAAAGGAAATACATTCAAGGGAGATGCAACTACTGAATAGCTAAAAGGAAAATAAAGCAACAATGAGTATATATGTTCTAAATAGCTACTACATAGATTACCAAATTAACATTCAAAATGTAAAAAGAATAATGCTAATTTTAAAAAATCACTTTCTCTTTCATGTAGCACTTATTGTCTAATATTGTTTTTTACTCAGTTAAGCTAAAGGATGTACAGAAGCAGCATAAGATGTATATAGGCTGATATAAGAGAATCCCAGAATTATAGAAGGGTTAGGGATACAGGGATGAGAAAGTAAGTCCAGTATCTTTTCACTTGAACCTAAATCTCCATATGAAACTATAAATTATCAATCTACTGATATTCCCTTATGATACTGAACCTAAGACATTTCAGTAATCTTCATGTGTTGCATTGAAAGGTCAGATTCCTTTTAAGAATTGGTAAAAACAATAACCTATGGTAAATACTGTTACTTTGTCAGTGAACAAGAAAATTTGGCAAAACAGTCTTCTCTGCCCTAACCCACCTTTTATGAACAAGTTTCTATAAAAATAGTGCATTTTTTAAATGGGAGAATAGGGCAGGGAATGATGAATCTACTTTTTCAATATGTCTGCCATCACAAACCAAGATTTAGCATGCAAGATGAAATTCTACATGGGAGAACAAAGTTTTTTCCTTTATTTATCTTAAAATTTATTTGGACACAACTTTAAAAATCCGAAATAGAAATTAAATAATAAGCTATGATACATATACCACTCATAAGGTAATTAAGAAACTTAACTCACCATTTTTTAGGTTTTGATAATGGTTTGTATTTGCCGTATTTTACACGCCATTCAAGAACTTCTTTACAGCGCTGACATACTCCATCATGAAGTTTTGCATTAATTTTCTTAAAAACAAATAGAAAAGCAAATTGAGAATTTCACTTGTGAGTCAGTATGGCAAACCCTATAAAAAGGTACAAAGAAATTTAAGCTTTTTAAAAATAATAACCTAACTTTCATCTGCATGACATTTTAAAATATATTGTGCATTGTTATGTACATTACTCAATTTGGTTCTTTACAAAAGCAATGGTTTTTTACTGGGTGTAGCTCAGAATCACCTAGAAAACTTCTTAACCTCCTGGCAGGCATATTTTGAGAAAGTCCTCCTCATTGATCCTGATGGATACATGTGGCAAAACTCAAAAAGTACAGGTAAGATATGTGCATTTTACACTAAATAAATTATACCTCAACAAAAATGTAATACTAAAAAAGAAATCCTAGTTCACATATTAAGATTATTCCTTTAACAATTTAAATCCTACTGAGTTGGAATTTAACTGAGAAATCAGTTAGTCCTGAATCATCAGTGTGTAGAGTAGAGCAGAGACTATGAAACTTGAGGAAAGAGTGCCAGGGAGAAGCAGCTGGAAGCAAGAAGGCATTTCATTACTCCATATAATCCTTTTGTATTCTCACTTAAGAAACAAGTTTTAGAAAAGCTCCCCCTGCTAACCTAGTTTCTTCAGCACACCAAGTAAATATGTGCATGTGAATATCTGTGGTGGGGAAAGAGCTTTATGAGGAAAAAAATATTTTTATTATAGTTTTCTTCTCAAAATATATTGGGAAAGAAGGAGAAGGGGAAAATTTTAGATGTCACTTATTCTCTGTACTAGTTTTATATAGTGTAACATATTCATTTGATTCAAGACCTAGACCATCTATTTCCATGGAGCACTCTGAGAATTCTCTAACTTGTTTTGGCTATGGAAGTTTGGTCTTTGCCTATTGTTGGAATAATGAAAAGAGGACATTTTAAATTTTCTTTGCTTCTTTTGTTTCCTTTTTTAATTTCTCAAGGGGAGAAAAAAACACATCACAAAGATGCAGATTCCTAGGAAGGCTATTTGATACTAAGTTAAAAGACTAGGTCATCTGAAAGAAAACAAACCTTTTGAACAGGGCTTGACATTCTTGAAAGTTCTAAACAAGAAGGTAAAAGAGAAAACAATTTGAGAATTTTGTTTGAGAAAACATTTATTTAACGAGAAAATATATCCAGAGTATTTTCAAAAACCATGAACTAAGCTGTGAATACACTATGTGTAACTTTGTGGTGAAAAACACATTTTGTTACTTCCGATTGTGTATGGGTATAATCCTTTTTTCCTGACATAGATGAAGAGTATCTGGGAAAATAAGTTCTGAATACGACTATATTCCCTCCTCACTGTGGTCCAGTAACTTTCCCAAAAGAAGGAACTCTGTGCCTACACACCAAACTCCTCCTCTTCTCAACCCTCATCCTTAGTTATCTCATACAGGACTGGCTAAGAATCACAAAACGAAAGTTCACATTCATCATTTGTTTTCACTGCCCTCTGTTGCCCTAAATATCTTACCAAAAGCATTACTTATATTTGTTGAACTCTAACAGTAAAAGGAAAAAAGTAAAGACTTTGGACTGATTACAATATGAATGTGATATAGACTTTCACACTGGAATATTCTTAGAATGCAAAACATTTCATGACCTATAATTTTATTATACTCTGCTTAACTAGGAAGCATTATTTGGTTTCTTGTTTGTTTCTGTATCCAATTTCTGACCAGTTTATCTTGATTTACAAAGCTGGGCATAGTTTGGAAACTGGTTTCTTTAGGGTGGATCGACAGCAGAACAAAACAGTTCTTTGTGGGAACTTGTCCTGTGAGTGACGTGTGAAGCAGTGTAAATGGAGATGCTGTACAGGGTTCACATGACTAACAGCCACTGCTACAAAACAAAACTGGATTCTTATGTGTTAAGAAATGAATGAGCGTAAGGATGAGAATGAATAGTACTTTCACTTAAAAACAGGTGAAGAAAGAAAAGTGTACACCTTGTTTTACCATATTTTGGCAAACTAGACGTGAAGTCCGGAGATGTGAGCAAAGAAAGCTAAATCCTAGTTCTAGGAATCATTCTACCTGGGGCAAAGGAGATGGAAATCTTACCTTCCTCCTGCCTATGTTTACCACTAACCCTGTTTGAGGAATTAATCTTAGTGTATCCCCCTTGGTAAAAGATCACAGGTTATTAAGGTTAAGGTTTAAGTGTGCCTCAATATAAAATAAAAGTTTCATAAATACAAAAGCTTTTATAGATCATATAGTTCAACAAGCTACTTTCCAGATTTTTAAAGTCAAAAAAATTATGAGAGGAACGTGCCACTGAACTTAGGAATGAGCTAAAAAAGAGAACCTTATTTATCAAGTGAATACTTTTTTATTTTATATATATATATATATATATTTTTTTTTTTTTTTTTTTTTTTTTTTTTTTTTTTTTAAACATATTGGCAGCTAGCTGGTGAGTGGATCCAAACACCTGACCTTGGTGTTACAAGACCATGCTCTAACCAACTGAGCTATCTAGCCAGCCTAAGTGAATTTTTTTTTTAAAGTTAGAATACATGCTCTTCCAGTAAGCATCCTAAGGTGGTTCGCTATTCGCTTGACCCAGAAAACCCCACAAAATCATGCAAATCAAGAGGTTCAAATCTTCGTGTTCACTTTAAGAACACCCATGAAACTGCTCAGGCCATCAAGGGTATGCATATCTGTAAAGCCACCAAGTATCTGAAGGATGTCACCTTACAGAAGCAATGTGTACCATTCAGGCGTTACAATGGTGGAGTTGGTAGGTGTGCCCAGGCCAAACGGTGAGGGTGGACACAGGGTCGGTGGCCCAAAAAGAGTGCTGAATTTTTGCTGCACATGCTTAAAAATGCAGAGAGTAATGCTGAACTTAAGGGTTTAGATGTAGATTCTCAGGTGATTGAGCATATCCAGCTGAATAAAGCACCCAAGATGCGCCACCGTACTTCTAGAACTTATGGTCGGATTAACCCATACATGAGCTCCCCCTGCCACATTGAGATGATCCTTACTGAAAAGGAACAAATTGCTCCCAAACCAGAAGAGGAGGTTGTACAGAAGAAAAAGATATCCCAGAAGAAACTGAAGAAACAAAAACTTATGGCTTGAGAATAAATTCAGAATAAAATAAATACAAAAAAAAAAAGTTAGAACAAACTTAAGGTTCACCAAAAAACACTCCTACTTTACACACACACAAACACACACACACGTGTCTTTGCTATGGATTGGATTGTGTCCCCCAAAGCCCCACTTTAGGTTTCCCAGCCTCTGCAACTGTAAGCAATAAATATTGTTTCTTTACAAATTACCCAGGTTCAGGTATTTATGTTATAAGTAACAGAAACAGACTAAAATAGTCTTAAATATGTCTTAGTCATCATTACTTCATGCAACATATACTTCAGAATAAGAGTTATCCCTGCTTTAAGCATTTTGTTGTCAGGCTTCTGGTCAAAATGGCAAAATAGACAGTCCCCAGCATCACTCTCTCCTACAAATCAATTTACAACTATTAAAAAGCAACAACAGCCAAGCTGGGGCCACTAGAGCTCAGGGGAAGAGGAGAGACCTATGGAGTTCATGAAGGCAGGAGAAGCCACAATGAGAGAAAGAAAGAACCACTCTGGCCATTTCAAGCCCCAGCTGCTTAAGAGGCTGGCCCTGGTGAGCACACGGAGCAACAGCTGGCAAAAGCCACAGCTGTGCCTTTCATATGAAGTTGTTTGGAGGTGGCAGAGGAGAAGAGGGCCTTGGTGGCCCCCAGGCTAGCAAGACCACTAACAGGGTTCCTGTGGACCCACATAGGAGCGAGGAGCAAGAAGACAACTGAAAAAAGGAGCCACTCAAAGGCCAGTGATTCATAGCAAAGGACCACCGAATGGGAAGTGTTTAGAGTACAGAGGCCACCGGGGGAACATTGGGGCACTGCATGGACAGCTGATTTGCCCCCAATCAGAACAGGTCCCCTCAGTGGAGGCTGGTGAGGAATACAGCACTCAGGGGATGCAGTTTGCTGAAAAGACTCAGGCCCAGACCAGCATTTCCACGCAACCGAGATGTACCAAGACCTCACAAGACCTGGAAGTGGTACAAGGTCAACAATTAAAACCGGAGCTCCACAAAAAGCCTTCTCCAGGGAATCAGCAGCAAAGCAGCAATTTAGCTCAAGTACAGGGCTCAAGTGCTGGTTCCCACAGGAAGTTCCCCCATTTTAGAAGTAAGCAAAGGATAGCAAATGAGTTCCAGTGTAGAGTTTAAGTGGTGGGAACAGTTAATAATCCAACACAGAAGTGAAAGAAAAAACAAAATACCCACAGATCAGAGACAAAAGTTGATATTCACCAGTGAAGATCTAACACCACCAAAGAACACCTATAAAACCTAGAAGGACCAGCAGGCCCCTGGGCTCCCAAGCTGGGGAGGGGGAGGGCCAGGGCCTCAGCCATGCCCCACTGACAACAACAACCAGCCCAAGACAATGACCAAGCAGCCTCTGGAAGCAACCCAGGCTCCCGAACCAGGGTGGTGGGAGACCGAGGGCCTCAGCCATGCCCCCTCCAACATCCTCAACCAGCTCAGCAATGACACCCAGCCACCACAGGAAGCGCCCTTGGCTCCTGAGCTGGGGTGGTGGTGGGCCAAGGGCCTCAGCCACGCCCCCTGACATCTGCATCCAGCCCAGCAACAACTGAGCTGGCGCTGGAAGCCCTCTGGTCTCTCCTGCCAAAAAGAAGGCAGTGCCACAATCCTCAACCACGCACCCGTCCTTCCTCCTTCTCCCACTCTACTTCCCTCCCTCTTCCTCTCTCCCCTCCCTGCAACTGCTCCACAACATCTTAGAATGCAAAAAAATAATAATATTAATAAATAAATAAATGAAAAGCATTCTGTTATCAGACAATACATCTCTGCTAATATAATACAGCAATCCCAAACAGAAATTGGGTGAAGACTTTAACTCCCAAGAAGGCAGTAA